TCTCTCGTGTCTCTTTCTTTTAGTGCCATATCCATATAGACTATGGCGATCTTGTTCTTCGACAATGTCCTGCACTAGCCATCAGTTCTATTCCTTGTCTCTTCTCTCTCGTATTGTCTCATCTCTCTCTCTCTCTCTCTCTCTCTCTCTTTTTTTTTTTCTCTTCCACTCTCTCTCTTCCTCTCTCTTTTTATCTCTCTCTCTTCATCTCTCTCTCTCTCTCTCTCTCTTTCTCTCTCTCTCTCTGCTATTTCTCGAAATCATCTATCGAAAATCCACCTTCCTTGAACCCTCGCCTGCTTAGTCTTTACTCAGTGCCAGGCAGATTCTCTAAAACTCTATCGTATATGTATACCTGAGAATCCCATCTGTCCATGCTTAGCTCATCTCGGTACTTTTTGTTATCTAAACGTTATATTTTCCTTACAGATTATATATTGTCAGTTGAATTACAAAACACGATTTTGTATTTTCTTCCTCTATGAAGACACAATTGTAAAACGTGTTTGCCGTATGCTCAACCCCATCTTTGTCGTATTTTGTTATTTCCAAATTTAAACGTATGGTGACTGAATAAAATAAGAATATTGTATTTATGTGAGTAGGCCTACATAATTATTTTGGTTTAGAATTTTAGAATCGCAGCGTTCATGTATGATTACCATACTGCAATATTGTCTTGTGATACCAATCCAATTTTACGAGTCTTCTGTAAACGTACAAAGAACCATATGGTTATGGTGATGTGTTGTTTTCTTCCCAAACGACTGAATAATTCATGCATGGGATGGCTGCAATTATACACGGCCCTACTTAGGAATAAAGACACCTGATGAAATGCACAAACAGATTTTTTTTCTTCTTCTTCAAACCACATAATTTGTTTGAAACACAATAATGTTGGACCTAAAGGGACAAAAGCATGGACCGCCATGTGCATTTGAGTAAATATGCTATCCGTTTATGACACTATTGCTTCCATTTTCGTCAATATTTCATTAATCTAATTCTATCAATGTTCACGTTTATTCATTGATGAAGGGAAGCGGGTGATTTGTCAGAATATGATTAATAACTCTGCCATTTGTAGAAGAAGAACACTAAAGTAGGTTCAAGCTGTAAGAATACAAAATGAAATAAAGGATTAAAAAAAAAATCAATTTCAAAATAAGACGTCCGTCGGCGCGTGACACAACTCGTCTCGCACGCGACCTCTCGTGGACGTATACAAGCAGATAAGTGTTAGAATGCCACTGGATAACAAGGATATCAGTCTGTAGACTGACTCCCATAGTATTATTGGAAGGGGAGTGATGCTTTGGTGAATCGGGAGGGGGGGGGGGGGGGCATGTGGGGTGGAAGAAAGATGAGACAAGAATTCGCAAAACACAAGACAAAAGTAACAGCAATGGGGAAGAAGAAGAAGAAGAAGAAGGTGAAGAAGAAGAAGAAGAAGAAGAAGAAGAAGAAGAAGAAGTAGAAGAAGAAGAAAAGGAAGAAGAAGAAGAAGAAGAAGAAGAAGAAGAAGAAGAAGAAGAAGAAGAAGAAAGAAGAAGAAGAAGAAGAAGAAGAAGAAGAAGAACAAAAAGAAGAAGAAGAAGGAAGAAGAAGAAGAAGAAGAAGAAGAAGAAAGAAGAAGAAGAAGAAGAAGAAGAAGAAGAAGAAGAAGAAGAAGAAGAAGAAGAAGAAGAAGAAGAAGAAGAAGACGAAGACGAAGACGAAGAAGAAGAAGAAGGAGAAGGGAACTTGAGAAAGAAGATAAAAGATTTTCTCATCTTTCTATGCTCATTACTTAGTCCCTTTACATTTGCTTCCAAAATCGTTTGGCACATGTCATTTATTTGTAATCTTAAATATTCATTGTAAGTTTTGTTGGATTCTGTAAGAATTAATTTTCTAAAATTACCAGAACTCAAGCTTATCTTTCGATCCGCTATCAAAAAGGACAATCAGAACAGTAGCAATGTGTTCGTCCCATACATCAGATTATACTAGCTGATGCCATAAAGAATAATTTGACAAAAGAACCGAATATGAACGATTATAATTACGAAATTATTTTATTGAGTCTACGTCGAACTACCATCTGGTTTGGCATTGAATGTTGAAGCACACTTCTGCCTATTAGTCGTAGCCTAGTCTTGTGGTATATTAAACAGATGGTTACGGGGGTTTGTTAGCAACATTGTAGGGCCTACTTTACCCTTCTTTAAACAGCATATTACCTCAAACATGTTCAGTGTGATGCGTGGGTCTAACTAGCGAGACCAACTCAAGACCGACTAAAAATGACGTTACCCAGAGTAGGGAAAATTTGGTCTGTTTGGAATCGTAAGTCGCTTAATTTTAGCTGTGAAACTATATACATATAGGGTGACAGTTATCAATGATCATACCACCAAACCGACTCCAAATCGACAGATTCTTGGACATTCAGGGTTTTGCCACTTTCGTTCGTTCCGTGCTTGGGCATCATATTGGGCTTCAAAAACGGATAAGATCCCGTCAAAAACGACCGGTTCTTTTCCTGTCGAGGTAATAAATATTTCTCATATTATTTGAGTCTTGTGTCGGTCTCGTGTCATTCTCGTCCGTGTGACTGTGGAATATGAGACCTTCATCTTCATACCCGAGTCACAACAACGGGACCGACCCTATAGACCGACCCTAGACAAGCCCCAAAATAATGTTTCCCCAAAGACCACAAATCGGTTTGTTTGGAGCCCAATACGACACCCCAATGAAATTCGAGGCAAGCCCCTTCGTATACTGAAGTATACACATTTTCTTTGAATTGCCTTCTTCTGTCCCATTTGAAACATTCGATCTAAAAGGAAACTGATAACTTTTCTCTTACATTATTAACATAATCCGATATAACATGGCTGCTATCGACTCAAGCATTCATTCTTATGATAGTTGTCCTCTGCATTTATCTTGATTCTTTGATTTATTACCTCTATACTTTCAAGTTTTTAATTATATCTACGTGATTTTTTGTTGTTTGAATATTCTATGTTTGATTTCCAATAAATGCAGAAACATCTGCTGCTAAAAAAAAAACAAAAAACATTATTATCTAGTCTTTTCTAATTAAAGAAACTTTACTTTCTATGAAAACTTCTCCCTCGTTCCTTGTCATAATTTGTTTCGAAAGTGTGCCACCTCCTTTACAAAGAATCCTGCATCCACATCTGCTCGTAAAGCAATGAACCGGGAAACATTTCCACCCTCCTGATAAACGTGTGTCAATCCATGGTCTGTCTTAACATTAATGCATATCTCTATAACATTAATGCATATTTCTATAAAATGACATATATCCTCCGTGAAAAAAAGGAAAAAAAGAAAAAGAAAGAAGAATAAGAAAACATTTGTGAATTTCCCAAAGCGTATTAAAGCAAAGAAGGTTAAGCATGGTTAAAGACCATTGCGAGCGTTGATGGGGCTCGTGTGTCTGCCTCATTAACGGATTAATGTGCTCTGGCTTTTTAAGCACACACGTGCGCTTAATCGCTGCGCTGTGTTTTCTCTCCATGTTCTAACGTGCAAACGTGATCTCATTATCCGTTTACAATGTTTTTTTCCTGTGTAAATGATATATTTTTCAATCAAACTCATGTTATTCCTAATGTGCTTAATAATTCAGCCTATAATATTGTCAGATTTCCCGGAGTGTGATTTAGAAACCGTCGCCTCCCTTAGAGCATCAGCAAAATATAGCGTCTTGAAAATATGTGGAAATTCCCTCTGGCTCTTTAAGGGCCCGAATTTGGAAGTGAGGTGGTGGCGGTGGTGGCGGTGGTGGTGGCGGTGGTGGCGGTGGTGGTGGCGGTGGTGGTGGCGGTGGTGGTGGCGGTGGTGGTATGGGTAGGGAGTGGGGATGTTGGGGAGTGGGGATGGCGGGGGGGGGGGGGGGTGCTTCTCACAATGTAGCCCTTACATGATTTACTAAAACGAGTGACATGTTTACCCCCTCCAACCGCCAAGTAGTTTCCTATCCTGCCTTTGGCCGATTGTTGACGGGTTGCACTAGTCTACAAACTCCTACATTGTTTTTCGGCAAAGAAAACACAAAATGGTTGGATAAACGAATCTATTTGGGGCTTTGGGGTTCATGCAGTCTACATGGGCCGTACAGTGGCGGATCCAGCCGGCGGGAAGAGGGGGGGGGGGGGGGGCAATCCGTGAGAAAATATTAGTTGCGACTCAGCCACCGGTGAATAAGCGGGGGGGGGGGGGGGGGGGGGGCTTTTGTTTTTTGTTTTATAAAGGTCAACTTTACGTTATCCTATTTTTTTTTTATCGTTTTGGGGGGCTTGGGGGGGGGGGGGGGGGGGGGGAGGGGGGGGAGGGGGGGGGGGGCCGGGCCGGAATAATCGCTACGTGGATCCGCCCCTGGGGGGGGGGGGGGGATTAGCCCCACCCAAGAACCGATTCCCAGATTCATCTGCAATCTCTGTTCTTGAAATGATTAAGCATGAGGGAAACAATTATAATATTTTGAAATAATTCGCTATTTCTTTGAAATATTTAAAGATCACCCAAAAATGTCATTAATGTAACATTATGAAGATCATTAAAACATTTTATTCAGTATTCATTTTCATCTCTTCAGTTAATTGAACATTCATGAGTGCAACTTGTTTACATTGAAAAGCGAAAAGAGCGGGGTTATATCAATTAAGACGGTATCGGCTGAAAAGGAAAATCGATAAGAGTCCTATATCTTTAAATTTACCCCCTTCGTTTTAATACACTTTTAAGCTATCCTAGAAAGGGAAATCATTATTCTTCCTACAAGCTCAAACTATTTGACCAGAAATAATTACAATGATAATTATAAAATTTTCATTTCAGTTCAATATTTAGGAGTTTGGGTGAAAAAAGGTGAAAATTACGCATTAGTGCGAAGATATGAAAGGGAGTAAAGTTGGTGAACGTACTGGATACACCTGTCTGGGCTTCACTTACGTTAACAACACAACGCTTTGTTCGTTGCCATGCTTGCATAATCAGCCCTTACAGTTTGATTGAACCTCGACTCGCGACTTCGACACGACTCGCTGCGGCTGCGGCGATGTAGTAGGCAAACATGTGTTTTGTGTTGTACCACTCATTGAAATTCATGTATGGTGGCGCTGCTATTATTGACCGACAATGTTTTCAAGGCAGTCTGCTTCGACTTCGTTCGTGGTTTTATCTTCGATATCAAAACAAACAATCAGAGGAATAATTTGACTGGAATAGATTGTCATAGAGAATTGCAAAGACGATGCTGCCATGATTTCGATGATAATGTATGATTATTTCACAGTGGGAAAAGTGTTTTCAACTTTGTTTTGAAGAGAGGATGATTTGTTTTGTTGAACAAATATTTATGAGCAACTTCAACGAGTGTGTGTTGTTTGATTCACCGTTGTCAAATACATAATTGATCAGCGTATTCTTGGAGAAACAAGTTGTACCAACCTCTAGTTCTAACTTGTTAGTACTACTTAAGTTCTAGACTAGCTAGTTTGATGTGATTCTATTGATGGACATGATGGATGACTGACATTTGAAACTAAAATTTAGTTTAGTCTAGGACTAGGAGTAGAACTAAGTCTAAGACTAGGATTATTAGGATAGGAATCGACTCAACTGTGGTTTAAAAAATAACTGAAAGTGAAACTGTTAAGAGTAAAAAAAAAAAAAAATAACATTGGATCCAGTTATTCATCAACAACAAGCTTTTGAATAGGCAAGGCCCAGGTCAGGGTCTAGCTGGACAGAATTCTCTAGATTATTATTCTTAAGTTATGAATGAAGAATGAAATTTGATGGAACTGTAACTTTCATAGAAGCTAAAAGTCTGATCTATGATAGAGTTTCATCTTTTAGTTTTAGAGAATAGAGGACTCGGCTAAAGAAACATTCCATTATGAGCGGAGAGGAGAAAGAAATGGAGGTGGACAATGCTCCTGTTTCCAAGGAAGGCCTGCCTCGTGGAGAGGAGGAGGTACTAGGATCAGGAAGCAAAGATATCGTGATGGACCAAACCAATGTTCACAGTGGAGGTGATCATGGAGCACCTGTTGAAATCAAAGTTGCCAAAAAGAGCCCCAAGAAGAGTAAAGGGGAGTCCAAAAATTCAGTCAAGAAAGTTAAGAAAGGCATTTTCATCTCGTACTCGCCTGATGGAGGATTCTTAGAACGATTATTCGTGTGCAGTGCTGTTAAGCAGTTCAAGGAAAATAACCTGGATGAGGATATTTGGTTTGATAAGGATGAGCACAACACTGACAGTCCGGCATGGTTTGCACATCGTATGGAAGCCGTTGAAAAGTGCAGAGCTGCCGTATGCTTCTTGACAGAATGCTATTTTCAATGCCCGGTATCCATCTATGAACTGCGTTGCCTGCTGGAGAGACAGAACTCAAGCAATCCACCAAAGGTTTTCGCGGTACTCTGTGAAAGTATGGACATTCCAAAGCAATACCGTTCCTTACTACGCGATCTTGTCAACCTCTCGAATAAAAGCAGTACCAGTATCGCAGAGAGAGCCTCGAGGGTTATAGGATCTCTCATGCTCAAGCTAGAACCCTACATCAGCATCAATGCTCCTTATACTCCCGCGACACACAATGGAGAGTTCACCAAGGAGTACAAAGACAAGAAGCTTTGCAGATGGAGCAGCAACGATCTCCAGAGTTGGCTCCACGACCTTGGCATTAAGGAATTCTACTGCCAGAGCTTCGCAGAGATGGACATTGATGGATTCCTGCTCATGTCGCTCATGGATCAAGACATGCAGGAGCGGCTAGGGGTAGACAGCAGGGTCGTACGCAGGAAGATCCTGCAGCACATAGTGGCCATCCTGGAGAAGGAACACAAGCTAGGAGATAACTGGCACCTGAGAGCTCGCACGCAGCGCCCCAAAGCAGACACCATCTACATCATCTATGACCCGGCGGATGTCAAGCTTGCCCATAACCTCAAACAGGATCTGAAAAGAAAAAGCCTTACAGTAAGTGAGAAAATGTCATGTAGCACAATGAATATTGTTGCATAAAAGGGGACTAAACATTGAGGGGAAACAAGGGGAAAACAGAACACTAAAAGAAACAGATTAAGGATAGATTGAGAAAGCATGATCATTTTAAGGGAGTTAGATGAAGGATTATAAGTGATTAGATTTGTAATTTGTTGAAAATTAAATTTTTCACTCTAATGCTTTGTGAAGTTTTGAAATTTAAATTTGAACCATTTAGAAGGCTTGATCGCTAAGTGATAAACCAGTGGTGTTGTAAACTTGTAATCAAGAAATTCCAGGTTAATCTATATTCATGTATGTATTAATATTCAATTTGAAAGTCCCTCAGAAAGGACTTTTGTAGCTCTACATGTATGTCCTCTGGTTGCTTACCGGTATGTGCGTGTAAAAGCCCATCATTCCTTTTTAGCAGACGTATACATAAAATGAAGAAATAATCAAGATCTGTTTATCTCAAATGTTGCTTCCCTGTAGAAAAGGCTTGTTAATATATAGATATTTGACGATATCCAACCTCCTCTCTCTATCTCTCCAAAGGTAACGAGCCATGAGAAACTAGGAAGCTCACGAGACGAGTTCCTTCAGATCAATGGTCCAACCCTTGCTGCAGCCAAGCACATCCTGGTGCTCATGACCGACGCATCGAGCGTCTCGCCCTTCGTCTTCCATGAGGTCCTCTTTGCTGACTGGCTCGGCAAGAACCTGGTGACGGCCATGTTCAAGAACTCCTGGGACAAACTCAGACCTGCTCTCAAGGCTGTCCTAGGTGCGTTAACTGTTGTTAAAGCCCCACTGTCCTACTTATAGCTACTTGCGCCCTCTATATAGCATGCAATGCCTAATCGGTGACCATTGGTCCCCCATGATCCTCTTTTTCTTATGTTAAGTGAGAGCCGATTTAATGAGATAACCACCTGTCAGTGACCTTGCAGGGTGGTCTAATCCCTCCTATACACAGATGGGCGTTATCTATTGTTAGGAGATGGGTTACTGGAGCAATAAATGAAAGAGTCCTACAGGACATGTACAGAATAATCCTTCAATCCAATTCATATAACCATGAGCCCAAAATGTCATTGACTCTGATGTGTGCACACCAGACACAACTGTGTGTGGTTATCATCTAGAGTAGGGGAGTGGGAGGGGGAGGGGAGGGAGGGGCGTCACTGGTGATATACAGTGGTAGCTTTATTTAGCAGGAAAAGGGAAAAATGAAGTTGTGTCATTCAGGTAAAATTAATGTGATTTTTTCTGAATCAAGGAATATTGATTTTTGTTTGCATAACCTCTAAATATTATAATATCCATAACATTTTAATAAAAACTCAGTCGCTATTTAAAAATCGCTTATCTATAGTTTTGAGATCAGGAAGTCAAAGCACTGTTGAACTACAATTGTCTATAGCTTTGCCAATGAATGTTGTCTACCAGGGGGGTGTTTCACAAAGATCCTAAGTTGAACTTATCGTTAAGTTGGACTTAACAATTGTGGAAAATCATTAGCATCCTCGAAAAGATTTTGTAAAAGTTATTTTAAAAGGCATAAAATGTTGATTCAAATCATTCATATTTTCTATTATCATGGGAGATTTCATGTTCTTGATGTGGAATTTATGAAAAATCTAAAATACTTGAATTTTTGCTCTTGAATATATTTCATTATAAGGCTACAAATGGCTCTCCATAATATTTAAGTCCAACTTAGAATCTTTGTGAAGCACCCCCCTGGTATACAGTTTCTAAGATGTCCATTATTGCATTCCCTTCTTGTGTTTCCCTCGTACAGGAGAGTGCAGTGCGATTGACTTTGAGACCAAGATGTACACCGAGGCCATGGATATCTTAGAACACCAGATAAAGCCCCTCAAGAGGGTCCCGGGTGTGGTACTAGAACAGAGCTATCTGAATCGTATGATGGAAGGTCTCAAACCACTCCAAGTCCTAGGAACAACCTCACGTAAGTTGCAGAACAGAACAGGGGGGCATTTCACAAAACTTGTCATCAGTGAAAAATTACAGTTTTTGTTATACCGGGTGTCATCAAAATTCTATTTTTAGAGTTTTTCAATTTTATTTTAGATTGCTCTTGATTGGTTGTCAACAGATTTGTCACTGATTTTTGTAATTTGTCATTGAAAGAAGGCTTTGTGAAACAGGTCCCAGAACAGGGGGGCATTTCACAAGACTTGTCATCAGTGAAAATGCCAGTTTTTGTTATAAGCTACTGAAATCCTTGCTTCTGATTGGTTATCAGTGGATTTGTCACTGATTTTTGTCATTTGTCATTGAAAAAAGGCTTTGTGAAACGGGTCCCTGATCAAGTTTGGAAGATGTTTTTGTCATTTGCAGACTATTAAATGGAGAATGCCATATCCCTGGATTATGAATATCACAACTACAGTATACAGTAATAACTTTGTTGTCATGAGGTTTGTGTGGAAAATGTATGGAACGATTACTGATTTGCTCTAATGAGCCTTCACTTTCGTTACCAAGTTTTGTTGATGTAATGTACAATACCCTTCTGCATTACAGAGACTTATCTTATGGTTAAAGTCATGTAGCTTTAAGAGGCTGGAAAAGACTTGTCTGGAAGTGCCAGAATGCAAAATGTATTTCCTTGGAAAATCAAAATTTTATGGCACAGAGGTAGAACCATATCATCATTAACGCATGATTACTCTTTTAAAGTGATCAGCTATTATGAATGAAGCCAAGTCGGATTTGTAAACCGGTCACTCAAGTATTTTTACTTTTTTGAAGCACTTCATGATCATTTTGAAGCACAATTTTTTTAGGGCTTCAATATTACTCCATATCACAGACACTGATAACACGTAGGGCCATGCATCTCAGATTTGTATAACTGGAAACATTGATAAATAATGCCTTTAATTCAGAGTCTAATTACTTCAAATCTTATCGGAAGATCATAAAACACCCATTGTCTGCTTGTTAATGTACAGTTATTAAGGTGTGAATTGGAATTCATTGCACATTAATATCAATTCATATATGCCAAAGTCCAAAAAATGAGATTGAGAAATACACTTATAGATAAAAGTTTGATGCATTATTAAATGTCACTAAGTACTTGCTAACATGTCAAGTACTTGTTAACACGATAACGTGTTGAATATATTGTTTTAATCAAAATTAATTGTGTTTTAATCTTCTTTATCTTGCTAGTAAGGTGTTGCTCTCAGTGCTACTAGTTAAATATCAGTCCCGTGTATGCACCCCTTTACTTGCTTAAAGGCATCGTATAACAATGCCAAATCTGAAATGCATATACATACAGTGTACATGTTATCAGTGTCTGTGATATGGTTTAATATTGAAGCCCTAAAATAATTGCGCTTCAAAATGATCATGAAGTGCCTCAAAAAGTAAAGATCTTTGACTGGTTTTACCATACTTATTTTCCCAAATAGACTGGACTGTTTGCAATGGTTTTTGAAATTTCGATTTCCAATCATAAATATCTTGATAATCAGACAGGCAATCCGCTAGTAAACTTCATTGGATTCCTGACTGACCTATAGGTTTATAAATATGATTGCAGCATGAGCTATATCCAGGATTCTGTTTAGAATCTGAGACAAAGATAGCCTATCCCTTTAAAAATTTGTAATGTACATGTACATGTAACTTTAATTGTGGTAGAAATTTGACTGCAAATGTTTCAAACATTTTTTCCCCTTTTTTATCTGATATAGATTTATCATGGAATGCAAGTAGTAATGTGATTGAGCCTAGAGTCTTCATCTCTTATCAATGGGATGCTCATAACAAGGTCCAGGACATCAAGCGAATCTTAGAAAGCAACGGCATCCCTTGCTGGGCGGAGTCCATCCCCACCATGTCTCAAGACACCCGCGGCTCCAGCGGGGGTAGTCACCGCACCGTGGGGTCCGGTCAGCAGTCATCTGGCTCCCACAACCCCCTGGCCACTCACGAGTCCGCGCAAGACCACATCCACCGCAACATGCGCTCGTCCGCGATCATCGTATCATGCATCACGTCGCGCTACCTCCAGTCGGATAACTGCGTGAAGGATCTGATCCTGGCCGACTCACTCCGTCGCCCGATCATCCCGGTCATGTTGCGGTTTGTTCCGTGGCCGCCCGATTGCGGGATGTCGGCGGTGAAGAAGATCCTTGCCCGAACCAACCCGGTCGACTTTAGCAACGAGAAACTCTACAAGCAGAACTTCCATCTCTTACTGGAAAGGGTAAGAAAACACTTGCAGAATATTAGAATGTAAGAAGTAAACCATTCATTAGATAAAATGCTTTGACAATCACAGATATTAGAAGTTGTATGTACAAGGTACATGTACATGTTCAGTTGCTGCTAAACTTCGAATTAGCAGAGATTTGATGTCAAGATTGCGTTGAGTTTTTCAAGATAGTGTAATGAGTACACTCAGTAGAATTTTTACCCTGTCTTATATCAGGCGGATATATAAATAACATTTTGCAATCACCTGAATGTAATGATATTTTGGAGAAATCATACATAATGGGTCTTTAGAAAAAAAATTGTCTATTTGACATTTCTTTTTAACACCAACAAAAATCTTTGTTTTGAAAGCTTAATTGCATTAAAAAAATTCAAGAAATGACATACATGAAACTGAAATGTGTGATGCAGGAATATAAATGTGATGAAACTATGATGAGCGGGGAATAAAATTTGAATATGATTCTGGATGTACATGTAGTATCTGTTCAATTCAGCAGTAACCAAGCACATGTATTACTAGTGATGAGCAATTATTTTCACTCTTATTCCAAAGATTATTTTGTAAAAATTAATAGGTGAAAAAAGATGTACCAGTAGCGTTGTGTTTATAAGATTAACGTTTGGTATAAATGTGGATATTAACTGTGTTTAGTAGATGCAATCCAGTTAATTCTAGTATGATCATCCCTTAAATGAGAATTCAATTTTGAGCCAGCAAAGTTTACATACACAATATGCACCTACAATGTAGTAGTCTAAATAATTAGTATTGGGCATCACGCTACACATAATATTCTACTGTACATGTTTCTATGTGCACAACTATCTCTCTCTAAACTATATTCTACAGTACATGTTGTATATCTCACCAGTTACATCTAGTTTAGTTTAGTTTGGATAAGTTTCTTGTCGTCAACAGCTCTCCAGATTATGCTAAGATCACTGAATTTTTCGACAAGTTTTATGCAAATTATGTGAAACATCATCTTAGCTATTAAGGAGTTGAGAATTGTGCAATTTGTTTATTTGTGCTCTGTTTTTTTTTTGTTTCTTTGTTTTTACAATGTGTGCTGTGCCTGATCCTAGGGACATATTATAGCAGGCCTTAAATTTCAACATTTTTAGGGCAACTATGAAAAGAAATTCAAGATTTTGAGTATTGTTATAACAGGCCTTAAATTAATCGACGGCCATCGACGGCCAGGCCGTCGATGCCCCTATGACTGGCCGCGGTGCCCTCCCAAAAAAAGATAAATTCACGGCCAAAAAGGCCGTGCCCTTTTTTTCAAACTGGCCGACGTGCCTTTTTTTCCAACTGGACGTGCCCTCTTTTTTTTTAAATTTGCGCACATAAAACCACCAATTGCGCCCATAATCATCTAAAACTAGACGGCAAGGCGCAAGTGTTTTCCGTGAAAATGCGCCCATAAATTATTAGAACAGTAAAAATACACGAATCACGAACAGTCTGCCGCCCACGAGCTCTCTTCTAGCTTCGTATTTAGTGCTTTAATAAGGCGCAAGTGCCGTGAAAATGCGCCCTTTGTTATTATATAGGCATGCAATGCGCTAGCGCACGTACAATCACGCGATCGCATGATATGCATATGGTGCATGCTGTTGACGCACGCACGTACGTACGTACGTACAAATCGAAGGCCAGGATCAAGAAAACAAATCGTCAAATGGAGAAATAAACAAGCATTCAAATAGTCATTAGAGATCTGTCGAGGTTTGTTTGTAGGTCTAGTTTATTATTTTATCTCAAATAGAATTTAGAATTATCTTATTAATAAGTTAAGAACACCTACGATGTTCTCGATCGTAGTTACTCTCATTTTGCCACCAGCCGACCTCGCTTCAAAAAGCTACCCCGCCAGCTTCCCAAGACGAACGTTTCGAGTCCCGGTAAAATTACGCGCTGCGAATCTCCGAGGGTGCATCGGTTTCGCTGGCAAACTTCCAGCCCGACAGCTTCCCACCAAAAGTGGCGAGAGTGTGTGTGCGAGGAACGATTTTGGTTTCGTGAATGCACGTTACGCAACTGAGCTGAGCGTGTCACTTTCAGCTGTCGAATGTCTATAAGGACATTTTTACATCTTATTTCATTAGTTAGGCCTATCTAGACCTTTCTATACAACAGTTAAAAAGATAATTTCTTCAAATTTGCTCCTACTACCGAGAGAGTGGCGGAAGGTTTGTGTGTGAGGTGCGATTTTGATTTGGGATACCCGGCCCGGTAAACTTGCCAAGTCCTTCTGACTTTCGTGTTTGTGAAATTGACAATTTATTTATTCATTTGCTCATCAATATTTTTAGTTACTTTAAAATACTGTTTAATGTGCAAGTTTGATGTTTTTAATCAATCTTTCCTGTTCATATTGTTAAGATTAAAAAGTTATTAAATTGATCGTTCGATCTATTCACATTATGAAATTAACATTTGTAGACTCTCTTTGAACTTATGATTAGATAAGGGGGCCTATCTCTTTTTGGAAAATTGCCCCTTGCTCTGGTAAATTCCCGTGGCAAAGGGCAACTTAAAAAAAAATTGCCCCTTGCTCCTGGCTGCTAAATCTAAGGCTTGCGGGCCGCCGCCTTGTTTGTATGTACCGTAGACCTCTATACATTCTGTGAAGAAGCTGGTGCTAAAAGTCATGGGAAATTGATCCCGCACAAGTTTCATTAAATACACATGACATCTAACAAAAATAGAATCAATTTTTTTGGCCTCATACTCGATGCCCTTTTTGTAAAATATTTTGGCCTCGATGCCCTTTTTGTAAAAATATTTTGGCCTTGGTGCCCTTAAAAATATGAGGTACTCAAGGCCAAACTGGCCTTGCCCTAAAAATGACGAAATTTAAGGCCTGTTATAATTTTGTTATTAAACATTTATAACTTGTTTGGAACTAAGAATTTTAACAACATTACTAATGCTGATGTGTATCTGTGACATAAATATTAATATAGCTAACATCTACATGTACATGCATGTAATTGTAGAAGTACTAGACAATCGTCATTACTGCATTAGAAACATATGAGATACATGTTCGATACATGGGTTGCATTTAATGTTATTTTTTCCTTCCATTCTATGTTATTGTGTATGTTGTTTGTTGATTATTGAATACAGACTATGTAATATGCAGCTAAATGTAACCTATGCAAATATTGTTTTGATATGCATATAACGTTTTAAGCAATAACACATTTTATATTACTTTTACTTGTTTTCCATGAACATCATTACTTATTTTATTAATTTATTTGTGATTATTTACTTAAAGGAATAATTAATTTATTAGTGTTAGAACAGAAAACAATTTGGTATTGAATGAAAAATGAGAATGTTACTGCATGTGTGATATGGAATTTAGATTACATGTACCAGTATGTACTCAAAAGGTTCATTATGGGAACTACATGTAGTCAAATTTATATTGAATATATCAAATTTATACAGTCAAACCTGCTTTAGTGACCACCTGTCTACAAAGGCCAAATTTGTTGTTTCCCTTGAAAATGGTTTCTCATTGAATCATGTACTGAAGAAACCTGTCTACAAAGGCCACTTTTTGTGTTTCCCTTGGGTGGTCGCTAAAGACAGGTTCGACTGTATATGTATTTCTTGCAATCATCATATTTGAACACGTCTTGTGCTACGTATATACTTTACATGAAAATCATCATGTTCACCAAGTTTAACAAATCTACCATGATACTGTGCAACAGGTATTTTGTCACATATTTATGAGATATATTCCTCAAATTGACACCATTCAAAAGTCGTATCAGGACAATTACCCCCTGGGCAATCACCCCCCGGAAAATTACCACCCGGAAAACTACCCCCCACGGACAATTACCCCCCAGAAAATTACCCCCCGGAGAATTACCCCCCGAGGACAATTACCCCCCAAGGACAATTACCCCCCAGAAAATTACCCCCGGAGAATTACCCCCCGAGGACAATTACCCCCCAAGGACAATTACCCCCGGAAAATTACCCCCGAGGACAACTACCCCCCGAGGACAATTACCCCCCGAGGACAACTACCCCCGAGGACAATTACCCCCCGAGGACAACTACCCCCGAGGACAATTACCCCCCGTGGACAATTCCCCCCAAGTACAACTACCCTCCTTTTCCGAGGACAACTATCCCCGATGACAATCACCCCCGAGGAATTTGTAACACTGTGACAAATAATGCGAGCTTCTCTCCAAATTGCTCTTTTTAGAAAATGTCATAAACTTTCAATTTCTATGTTATTTGTGAAGTTCATTTCAGTGTTTTCAAGTTATTCACTTCGATGTGGGGGGGGGGGGGGTTGGAGTTGCCCAATTCCCCCGAAGTTTTGCTACCGAGTAAATATATTTATGTTGTCATGCGGGAGTATGATATGCGCAGGTCGAGGGTTCGAATCACGATACCGGCACTAATATCCTTTTTCAAGATATTAACCTGCACTTGCTACTCTCCACCCAGGTGTTAAACGGGTACCCGGTAGTATGTGACCGTCATTGTTGGTCACAACGGTGTTGATTTTTATCCGTGGTTGGGGGGGGGGGGGGGGGGGGGTGATAGGTGCCAAAATAATTTCGGCGATGGATCAAGGCAACCAAGAGGTAGAAGTGTGTGGCAGGTTGCACCCCCTCCCTTACAAGTTATTACTTTTTTCAAGTCACCCTCAATAAAGATAACATTTCAGAGAATATGGGACCCATGTGGGCTTGCAACTTGGGTTATTATCCTCTCAAGCGCGTAGCAAGGATTTTATTTTAGGGGGGCGGTAGTGAGCACGCGAAGCGCGCTCCCTAAAGGGGGTGGCTGCAGGGAGGGGGGTTTTCCCCGTCCCACGCGAAGCGCGGAAGCTTTGATGTTTCATTTAATTATTAGAGAAAGAAGACGATTCGTTGTACCGTTCTCGACTCTTAATCCTTGTCTAAATTCAATTTCTTTTGACCTTTAATTAAATTATTAGAGAAAGAAGACGATTCGTTGTACCGTTCTCGACTCTTAATCCTTGTCTAAATTCAATTTCTTTTGACCTTTAATTAAATTATTAGAGAAAGAAGACGATTCGTTGTACCGTTCTCGACTCTTAATCCTTGTCTAAATTCAATTTCTTTTGACCTTTAATTAAATTATTAGAGAAAGAAGACGATTCGTTGTACCGTTTTCGACTCTTAATCCTTGTTTGAATAAAGTTCCCCTTCCTCCGCGCGTAGCGCGGAAGCTCTGACATTTCATTAAATTGATAAAGAAAGAAGACGATTCGTTGTACCATTCTCGACTCTTAATCCTTGTCTGATTTCAGTTCCCCCCTCCCGCGCGAAAGCTTTGACGTTTCATTAAGTTACTAAAGAAAGAAGACGATTCGTTGTGCCATTCTCGACTCTTAATCCTTGTCTGAATTCAGTTCCCCGACCCCCCCCCCCCCTCCCGCGCGAAACTTCGACGTTTCATCACATTATAAGAGAAAGATGACGGTTCGTTGTACCGTTCTTGATTCTTAATCTTTTTTCTTCCTACGTCCTCTTCCTTTTTTCTTTCTCTCTCTCTCTCTTTTTTTTTGGCCGGCGTTTTTTACGCGCGCCTGTATACGCGCCTGTATTATCTCTCTCTCCCACTCTCTACTTCTTTTTTTGCACTTTTGCGCTTCGCGCTTGATATTTAGCTCGTTGCTTTTTAACGCTGCGGCTTCGCATTCGGCGCACTGCATTTCTATGATGCTGTTGATTGAATAAATTGATCAATTCCTGATGAAGCCGTATGAGCGAGAATTCAATTTATTCTTGTCTCATATACGGATGTCTCATTTACGTATGTATTATGAAAATGAGATAGCAAAATGTGTATATTGATGGTCATCTTGCGAGTAATAACCATTAACTACTTTCATCGGGCTCTCATCATTAATGTTTCTCTTCCTTTTTTTTTTGACGGTGAATTGTTGGGGGGATGATTGGACAGGCCACCACCCCCCCCCCCCCCCACCTGGGATCGACACCCATGAACATAGCACTTGGCGAGTGCCTGAGTCATGCAAAATAGAATTTGGGATTTGGGAGAAACTTTTCATTTTTTAAGAGGGTACCATGACTCAAAAAGTTGAAATAACGCTGCTCAAGAGAAATGTATTTCTATGCA